TCTGCACAAATCCATCACAAAAAAAATGTACATAACCCCACTTCCAGCAGACAAATTCGATTGATTTGAAACATTTACATTTCATTGACAGGCAAATCTCTGGATACCTTATCTTACGAACATTTATGTTAAAATAACTCCATTTTCCCAATGATTCAGTTATATGCACTCATGATGTTCCACTCAGTATATTGTTTCATAATTTAACTTGAAGAGATTAAGAATAATAACCATAAACATTTTAAAAAAATTCCTTTTAAGCTTAATTGTAAATTTGAAACTGGGGAAAAACTTTAAGATCATATGTAGTTGAAAAAAAAATTTAGGTTCAGTTTAATTGATTTGAGAAACTGGCATAAGATACAATCACAATAAAATATAAGAAACTTTTCCTTTTTTTTGTTGCTATTTGACAGATAATTGACCAAATATTTTGTATATAAGCTTTAGACTTGGCTCATCTGATTGCTACCCTTCAGTCTTACCTTGATGTTATAAAACATGTATATTTCAGGTATGGTACCATAGGCAGTGGTCTTACAATGACTTCCAGAGGAATACGGCCTGGATTTTCTGCAAGTAAATGGTCTTGATAAAATTTATATTCATTGGTGTTATGATATTTATATAAACATCTTGAATGCTGTTAATGAAAATATTCTCTTTGAAATCTTAAATATCCTTTCAATTACATGAACAATATGAATCTTTCTCTGTTCATAACAATGGACTTACCTATTATCAAACTAGCAACTTGGTTCCACTACTAAGTAATAAATGAGAAAAATCATTGTTTAGGATAGCATGAGACATGCCCAGTTCAACTTGAAATGAGTAAAAGTATTGTTTTATAATAATGGAAATGTTAAAAAAATATATAAATAATAATACAAAATTAAATTGGTGTTTTAACACAAGTTAAGCTTGTTAACACTCCTCATGTTACCTGACTCGCTCACCTACTCACTCAAGTAGACTCCACTAAGGAGTATGGGGCCATAGCTTTACATACTTGGTATTACTGCTGTGGTTTCTGTAGTAAGTCAATTTTTATGGGATGAAGTTGCTAGTCCCATGCCCAACTAGTTTTTAATTCAGTTATCCTCCACCTAGACTGGTTATCAACCAAGGTTGAAAGTCCTAGTTTATCCTACTATTTTACCCATATTTGGGGATTATGTTCCATAACGACATGTAAATATGTTATTAAATTGCTTTTCTTAAATAATTTAATAAAACTTCAAATCTATCTGAATTTCTCACAAGTAATAATTAGTAAATATGGAAGTTTTTCATTTTGGCATATTATACAGATGGCTGTCATAAAACAGCTAAGATCATTCGTAAAAAAAAGAAAAATACAGTCTATATATAATTGGAAACAGTTCATTTTGCTATACTTGACTAAACCCTTTTGTGTAAAGCCTCTGATTGGGAGATTGGAAATTTTATGAAGCATGGAATCACCTCTTAATTGCTTTTGTTGCCAGGTTCACTCTGATCCAGCTTGGTAGCATCTGTTAGGCAAATAATGAACTCCCAAATGAAAAGTATAAAAATACATTTTTATATATATATAAAAAAAATAACAGCAATATACTTTTATAAAAAAATACCAGCAATACATTTTATAGAAAAACTGAAGATATGACTTACATTGTCAAAAAAATTAAAATAAAACAACTTATGATTAATCTCATTTCTTGTAAAGCAAACACCAAGTTTTCATTCCTTATTTCATTTTGTAAAATTATTTGGTTAAAAAAAAAATGCAGCTAAGTTATTATAATTTAATCCTGAAATAATGTAATTCTCTTGAATTAATCATAAAGTTTGAATTTTCATATGCTGTTAAACAAAAACAACCAAACTTTTTGTGTATAGCCTTCAAAGTTATGCAATTTTGTAAATAAAAAAGAATGTTTCTTTTCTTCTTGAGGAATTGTTATCTAGCTTTTTTCTGTTATATAGATTTTATCTTTATCAGTAACAACTATTGTTCACAACTATGTAGTGTAAGACTAATTTCTCATATAATTAATATTTAGAAAAAAAAAATTAAACTATTGGTGTGCATTGGAAAAGTAATATCACAGCAATTTTTCCTCCCAAAATAGTTTTCCCATTTTTCATAGTATTTCTTTATTGAAAAATTACAAACAAAAGTGAATGATAGTAACAATTATTTTATTTTTTTTTCTTTTAATTGGAAAAAAAGGTGTAAGAAATATCTATTTTACAACCTTTGCAAGGTTGTAAAATAGATATTTCTTAGTTACACTTTTTTTTTTTTTTTTTTTGTTACAGCTTTGGTATAAGAAGTTGATGAATTTATGCTTTGTTATATTACAAAGATCAACACACCATCAGTACTTTGTTTCATTTTATTTTCAAGTGTTGGTATCCCAATTTGGTAATGTTCAAGGGCGACTGTTATGGACAGCAGGTATGTCTACATCTATGAGCACAGTTGTTGTCTATGACACTGTGAAAAGACATGCAGTATTAACAGTTCAGGTAAATATTTCAGTTTATTTCTTGCAGGATTCTGGTTTCTTTTTGTTCTCTCATTTTAGGATTTTATTTATTTATGTTATAATTGTGAGTAAAAAAAAAAAACAAAAAAAAACGCACTCGTCTTTAAAAAAAAGAATTTTATGCAAAGCAAAATACCATCATTTATAAATGAGCTGAGAAATGAAGATGTAGTAATAATAGTGAATTAATCATAGTAATTTAAATATGCTGTTTATAACTTTAAAAAAAAATCATTGCATTCTAAATTTTGTTCCGACAATTGAATTCCTTTGTGTTTCAGCTAATCTATTCATCAGGTGTATAATCTGTGAAAAAAAGATGGAAATGCCTTATTTCTTCAAAAATGGCAACTAATAACAATCCCCAGCTATTGGGTAAAATAGCAAGATATACTGGGCTCTCTAGCTTTGGGTGGCAACCAGTTTAAGAGGAGAACTCTGAATTCAAATCATGGAGAAGGCAATAGAGAAATATTCCAACACTTTTCCCAGAAAGTTATGGCAATTCATTGATAATAAAGAAAAGGAATCTGTGGAGTCATTTTCGTTCTATGCCATGGCATTTTTAAAATGCACACTCACACAGTTCGTTTCAGCAATGCTAGATAGATAGCTGAACCTTTTACTGCCACCCATGTGTTGCAGATACTGTCTAGTTCAAAATTGCTAAAATAGGCTGATCCAGTGGTATAGTAGCAACTTTTTTCTGTCACCATTTTCTGAATAACATAGGAACCTTTATTCTTTTCTTATAGATTATATACCTGACAAATGCAGAAGAATGGATAGATTAAACATTGCAATAACAAAAAATACGAAGGGGTACAATTGTTCAACCAGAATTTAGAATTTGAATATGCATTGATCAATTAAAAATGTCATGATGAAAATGCATAGAAAAATAGTAAAGGGTTGTCCACATGTTTGACCAATTTTATGCTTGTAATATTCATCTTTTATTTAATTTTGTTTACTTAAAATAGATGAGTCACATTATTCTAAATATGTACTTCAAAACCAAATGACTTTCCAAAAATTGTGACTAGCATATCTTTTCGAAACCATCCTAATCCTTATTTCAGAGCTGGAATAATGTAGCTTAAATCTGTATAGCCATCATTATTTTTTTTTCTTCATACTGTTTATTTCTTTTATATTACTTTACTAGCTACCCAGTGTTATAGTGAGTTTTAGACTTGTGAAACTTGGCAAAATTTAAATGTTTTGATGGATATTGTCTAAAATTTCTTGAAATTATAGTGCTTTTTTTTTTTTTTTTTTTTTCATTTCATTGTGTTTTCGCAGATCTTTCAAATATTACACTTTTTCTTTTTTTTCAATTTTAATTTTGAAAAATTCAAAATATTTTCCATATCAAAGTTTTTTTTATTTTTTTTCCCTCTTCAGGTTGGAATTCCTAATAGTTTTGTATCCTTAAGCTACACACACAAATTTCAAAATGACGATGATTCAAAATTACGAGGTGCTATACGGTAAGTACTTTGTATGTACTTGGTTAATTTTAACTTTGTAAATAACATTTGACTTTTGATAAAGTTCATTGCAAATATAATTTTCTACTTTTGTAGAGTTGGTGTGTTCAGTACAATTCTAGAATGTGCAGTTGAAAAAAAAATTACTGAATACAGTACATTGGGAGCAACCATGTTGATTGGAGTGCCTACGGGTGTCACACTCCGGATAAAGTAAGTATTAAAAGATTCTGCTGTAAAAATCGGACTTTTGTTACTTATTGGATATTATAATGAAAGAAAGCTCTTCAAGCTCTTATAAATATTACTTTCTAATTCAATGTTTATATTTCATACAAATGTTTCTTTTCCTTTTCAAACAAGTAGAGATAGTTGTCAACTTGCCTGTCTTATTTTTCTTTTACTGATTCAAAAAGGAGAAATTATCTTTTAGCAACAATTTTAAGTAGACAATCTTTTTGTCTTTGCATCTTTTATGAGTATTAAGTTTGATTCAATTAAAAATTGATTTACTTGACAATATTATTCTTTATAAGGTCTTGTACCAAAACTGAACAATATATTTTTTCCTTAATTAGAAGTAAAAAGAAAAAATAAACAATTTTGATCCAATCTGTAAAGTCTTTTGCTTAATCTATTTGCCAGAATGCTCATTCATTTCCATATGTGAGTAAATAAGCTTAAAAAGTTGAAATGCTATACATTGTTGCTTTTATTATGCTTTTATTTTCTTCTCAATTTGTGTCTAGGTTAAGTCGAGGCCGACAAACCTTCCTTTTTCCCATCCATCTTTCTGATCATGTATCGCCAAGTGCCATTTTTTATGGAACCGCTGTCCCTTTAATGCTATATCATGCTGTGAAAATTCTTGTTATTCAGCCATACTTACAGGATCAGAAAAAAAAGTGAGTATCATTTTATTAAATCACTGATTTTTACTTTGTTTAATTGTATTTTTTAAGTTAGCTTATGGAATTAAACATTTGGATCAAAAAGCCATACTTTTTTGAAGTAAAGTTAAAATTCAATGATCTGTAATTCTCATCCAATGATGAAAATAGGAATGCATCATATGGGAGTTTCACATTTTATAGCAATACACTACAAACATAGTAGTCCAATTTGTCATCTTATTTGCATGACTTTCAGTGTACCTACGTTGGCTACCAAATCTGATACAAGGTTGAGGTTTAAAGTGGGCAATGATTTTCTAAGCTTAGCTTAGATGTAGCACAAGGATGAAAGTCTGGAGCAGCCAATGATGATTGAACTTGCTATTCAGTTGTAATTGATCGAGCAAGACAAGTTTGTTAACCATTATACCACATCAAAGTGCTCCTCATCTTATGTGTATGTGTTTGATACAAAAAGAAAATTGATCAATAAACTACATTGATAAACAAAAACTTCTAATGTCACAAACTTAATGTCTCTGTTGATTTACAGTTATGTATAAAAGATGATAGACTTTATGATTAGACTTTATACAGACTTTTTCAGATAATATTACTTACCTTTTTGCAGTTATAAATGTTTATGCTTTGGCACAATTTTAGACTTTACACAATCATATAACATGATAAAATTTCAGTTCCTTATTAATACACATTCCTAGCAATCATCTACATTTATGGAAAGTATATATATATATATATATATATATATATATATATATATATATATAATTTCAGATAGAATAAAGACAAAAGGAAAACTTATCTTACCCGAAGTGTTTCATCCTCTGAGGGACTTTATCAAGGCAAATGCAAGCATTTTATTTTGTAAAATGTATTTATAGACAAGGGCAAAAATGTTAGTTTTTCAAAATTTTTAAAGGAACACTCATAAATATACTTCAGGTTAGCTGAAAAGTCCAGGTAAGTCATGGAACTGTAACAAGATTAAATCTCGAATAATCATATATAATAGAATTCTATTTAAGAGCACTTAGAAACTGCAGCCCCAATGCATCTTTTTTTTTTTTTTAATTTTAAAATTTAAGCACTAAAATATTATTAAAGCTAACTGTATAAGTAAATGGTAAACTATGGAAGATACTAAGTGATGTAATTTAATGCCTAATAAACAAAAGTGGGTTAACGTCATTGCTGAATTTTATTTTCTTATTTGTTTATATTTTTTTTTAATGTTATTATTTTTTAGATTAAAAGTTTTTGAGAGTGCAGCTTGATTCTTCCCAAAATGTTAACTTACACCCTGGATTTTTTCAAGTATCCCTTTTCTTAAAAGAAATATTACCTTCCTGTGCCAGCATACTAGACTATAAAAACTTAAAAAATTAAAAGAAAACAGTTAACCTCATATTATTTAAAATAAATATGTACATAAATAATTTATCAAATTAAAATAATAATTACATTAAAAAAAAAAATTCATTCATTCAGATCTAAGCATAAAGATGCCTGAGCATCTATCAATGTCCTATTATTTTACCCCTAACTTAGAGAAGAGATCAGTTCATGTCTTAATCTAAGGTATTAGTGTAAAGAGAACAACTTCAGTTAAAATATGAATTCAACCTGCTGATTCCATTTTCAGTACTGGCTACCTTAATCATATTAGTCATAATATTTTAAATTTGGAAATTGAAATGTTATGTATTAATTTTTTACACCTTAATTTCTGCTACTTTTTATCACAACTGCTGGATTACTATAATATTGCACCCCTTAGCAACTGCTGGATTACTATAATTTTGCACCCCTTAGCAACTGCTGGATTACTATAATTTTGCACCCCTTAGCAACTGCTGGATTACTATAATTTTGCACCCCTTAGCAACTGCTGGATTACTATAATTTTGCACCCCTTAGCAACTGCTGGATTACTATAATTTTGCACCCCTTAGCAACTGCTGGATTACTATAATTTTGCACCCCTTAGCAATGCCCGGATCACTATTTTTTTGCACCCCTTAGCAATGCCCGGATCACTATTGTTTTATACCCCTTAGCAATGCCTGGATCACCATCATTTTGCAGCATGTAGAGGAAATAAATTCTACAATGATTGTGAACTTCTATAATGATACTTTATTAATGTCCAGTTCATTTGAACTTTTTATCATTTTTTTCTTTTTTTTTAAATTTATTTTCCATTTGAAATATTTTTCTTTTTCTAGAGAAATTGAAAAGAAGCAAGAAGAACACAGTGATATGCTGTATAAGAAGAAAATGGAAGCAGATGCTGCTGTAAAACCTCTTTTATTTTACTTAATGTTTCTAAAGAAAAATTCAAACTACCACCAGACACATTAGTTATAGTAATCAGATTTGTGTTTTGTATTTGTATGTTTTGATTACAATGATTTTTGCAATTCCCATCATTCCATTAAAATGGTTAAAAAAACGAGCTGTTGACATTGATCTCTCTTGCATGTTTACAATTTTTTAACCAAAGATAAAATTTATTTTTAATTGTCTCACAATAGATGAAAGTTAAAATGTTCCCTCTTTTTGTAAAAAGTGGCAAGAGAACTTATTCGTTAAATGTTATATATTAACCAACATGTCATTAATTTTATCTTTGTTCATTATAGACTGTTGGGCATCTGGTAACCTATGCTAAGGTCAATCACAGTTGTGACCAGACATTGGGAAATCCATGATACTTTCATTAGCTGCATATAGTATGTGCTATATGCAGCTAATAAAAAACTAAATAAGGTTTTTTGAATTTAGTGATATCCTTCTAGACTGGTTGCCAACCAAGGCTAAAGAGCCAAGTATGTTCTATTTAACCCATACCTGGAGGGAGATGGATTCATACCATTTCCCAAGGGTATTAGAATAAGTGAATATAACAAACTCAAATGGAATTCAAACATGGCTATCTAATTTCTCAATCATAAATGCTATCCAAAATCTATAATGAATCTAAATTATCCTCTGATTCCAATATTGGTTTCAAGCTAAAGAAACAGTATCCATAAAGATGTTTGCCATAATTCATTTCAATATGTAATTAAATCTCCCTCCTATGACTTAACTCTCACAGCTGAAGGGGTGGGGGGTTTCTAGACTGGCTTGTAACATTCAATACCCCCAAAACAAAGCTAGTAATAATTCATCACCACTGAGCAGACCCTAAATTTACTCCAGTCCTGATGAGTATTTATACTCTCAATGAGACTCCTTGTCTTGATCATCTATTGGGTCTCCAGAAAATACCTAACTCCTATTACTATGCTCTATCTTCACAAGATCAGACCAAGAATCACTATCAAAGCTAGACAGGTTTCTGCCTATTACTCACTATTTTCCACCCTTTGTATTCCTCTTGATAAGGAGTAAGTTCCACTCATACAGCTTATTCCCCAGAACTGTTACTTTGCAGAACAGACTCCTGAGAAGATGTTTCTCTCACCACTACAATCTTAACCTTTTCATGTTCAGGGTTAACTGTTATCTATCTTACATATCCTCATATGCACTTCCTCCTTCTACCCTGATGATGTAATGGATAATGGCTTGGAATGAGAAATCTGAAAGTTACCTTTGTTACATTCACTTATGCCCTTGGGAAAAAGTATGAATCCATCTCTCCTCCTCTTAGTTAAATAGTTGTACTTGTATCAGAAAAAATCATTGTCAAAAAATTTGTATTGCAATATTCACTCATAAAAAAAAAGAATTATTCTTGCAATCCAAAATGTTTGGGCTTTAAATTAGCCACAAAAAAGCAAATCAATCAGTCAATCTGTTCACCTACCTTACAACAATCCCACTCAGTAATCCTCTACCTTAAGTAGCCCTTGTGTCATGTATTGGGTGAATTAAAATTTAAAAAAAAGATTAATCCATGTTATTACTATTATTTCTTATGCTATTTAACATTGATTTGCAATAAACTTCTTTTTCTCTCTCTCTCTAGGTTCACTTGATGCAAGAAACAGTCCAGAGAATTGTTGAAGAGGAAACTGAAAAGAATGGTTTGATTATAGTGAAAGCTTTATATGGGAAACTTGATGATAAATTAGAAAAGTAAGTTTATTGTTTATCAAAAGTAGAAATGACATTGTTGCTCCATTATCCTCTTCCAGCATAATGATGGATGTGATTGTTGCAATTTGCATTTCTACTTTGAGATTTTGAGAATAAATGAGCTTTCATTTTTAACGTTGATTGGAAGCATTTATTGATTATTCTTTTAAAAAAAAGGCAATATTATCTTTAGATATTATTTTCTTTTTTAAAATAGTGACTTTATGCAGCTTACTGTCCATAGAATTTAAACTTAGAATTTCTTCAAGGGGTAACGATTCACAAACAATTTGTATTGCTTTCCAAAGTTTGTATAAAAATTGTTGCTATCATAAAAGCACATTTTGATGATGCTACAAAGATCTTTGATTGGGTTCAGATTTGTCAAAACTGTAGGCCAACTCATAAATTAGTCATTTTATTTTTTCAAATCTAATTTAGCTAAGAATTCAGCAATTGCAATAGTGGCATGAATTGGAACACAATATCATAGGATGTTGTTAGATCAAAATTGTTTGCTTTTTACATCACTGACAAAATCATTGCTGCTTGGTCAGTTTGTTCATATTTATTTTAATCCTCTTATCACTTTAAATTGATTCTTTTGAGATCATTGCATATGAATTGGAATGTTTTATATAATTATTTACCTATTCTAGCATAAAGTAAATTTTATGTTTGTTTATATTTTTATCTTTGATTATGTGATATTCTGTGTAAATACAAGGTACATTTGATTGAAATTGGTTGATTCTACAATTATTAGTTTTATAATTATCTTTTCATTGATTCACATGCAATATTGGAACATACTGCATAATGTCCAAGTTATTCTACACGGAAAATTATTCTGAAAAATAGTTGTTTTAGCATTTACAGCTACTCTATAACCTTGGATAAAAACTGAAAATTATTTTTATTGCAGTGGGTTTGTGGAGGGCAAATACATTGATATTGCTGTCCCACTTCAGTGCCTTGTCAAAAATTCATCACTGTTGATACCAGAAAAGAACAGTAAAGTAAGTATTACTTGGATCAAATTGTAAAATATTTTCTCTTATTAAAATCATTTTTCTACTTTGAAAATGGATTGGTTTTTGATAAATTGTCACAATCTGATTTGCCATTACAATATTTGTTTTTCCCTCTTTATCCCATCAATGCATTCACATTATTTATTTTAATAATTGATTGTGTATATCATTCAATATAAGAAATATTCCATAATATAAACAAATATTCCATAACATAAAATTTTACAAATACTACAATTTGATATTTGAATTTATAAATCTTTTTTGTACTGTGTATTTCTTATTTATATTTGAAAACCACTTTATTTTTTCTCCAAAATAATTATTCACATGTCAGTGACATTGAAATAAGTGATTTATTTGGGGATACTGGAAAAGTTTTAACCGATTTTTAGGTTCAGAAATGTTAATATTAATTGAAGATATTTGACTTGTAATTGCCTTCATTGTTCCCTAGGTTAATAAGAAACAGATTAGCTGAATGGTGGAAAAATAAATTTGAAACTCATTTGTGCAGAGTTAAATTGCAGTTGTCTTTATCTGCCTTCTGCTTCCAAGTTTATTCTACTCTTAAGACATAGCAAAGGAATCAACACAAGCTTCATGTATGTTCAAAGAAATAAAGTTTTAATAACAACCAAAAATAATGACTAAAATATATTTAGTTTCATAAAGTATAGTGAATGTGTGAAAAGTGTTGATAATATTACACATATACTATACCTGTTAAGAATCATATGTACAAGTAGTAAATTGAATATTAGTTTTTATTTACTTTATGAAAAAAATATTCCAACTTGTATAAGGAAAAACAATTCAGACATTGTTTAGAAAGTCAATGTTAAAATTTGTTTCATGGTGGTGAGGTATGTAGTTTTGTAAGCATATAGTTAAAATAATGTAGTCAATATTGGAATAGCTTGCCTACACTAGGGGCAAGCTGGTGAGAGGTGGGCCAAATGATTTCATTTTATGTAAGAGAGAGAATAGGCTGATTTCTGGTTGGTGTAAAAAGGTTTGTATTCAATCATGTGATCTCCTTATTATTACAAAGTGTAATTTTTTGACTGACTGAAGCCTATGTTCGCACAAAAATGATTGTTTTATTGTAGTCATCATCATTATGACTACAAGGTAAAAAGAGCTAAATCTTGATAAGAGTCAGCAAATGAAAGATGATATGGCACATAGAAAAGCAGAAAATTATTTAAATATCACCCCATATGTGTTAAAAGAAGGGGAGCAACTTAATGAAATTTTCATGTATTTAACACTCAACTGATTCCATATTTCTGAGATCTCAGCTGCCCATTACTGCTATTGAATATTTCTGGAATATTGTCTGTTAAATAAGTTAGATTTCTAATAGTAAAATGTAGTTTTATATTAAATGATTTTTGTTTTCTTTCTTTCTTCAGACTGGACTTTTAGGATTTTATGATCCTTGTTTGGGAGAAGAAAAAAGTTTATACATTCGTTATAAATTTAGGGGTAAACTGCATCATGTAACTCTAGGAGATTTTGAGCCACTCAAAATACCCATGAAAAGTAAGTACTTTTTGTTCTGTGGATTTTTTCTTTCTTTCTGAGAATGACTACAGTGTGTAAATTATTTATACTTTTAGTTTGGTTGTAGTTTAATATTTACAAACAGCATTTCCCACTTGTAGATTTTTTGTTTTATTTTTGTTTATCTTGGAATTACATAATTTTAAATAAATTAAAAATGAATATTAGAAAATTGAATCAAGATAATTTGATTTTCAACAAAGACTAGAAATGAACAAATCCAATGAAATTTTAGCTAAAGAATTTTAATAGTAATAAAATGTTTAGTAAAAAGATTGGTCAACTATTTCTGTTGAATAATTTTAAATGTCATATCTGTAGACTCTTATAGACTCCAGTTTAATACAATATTTTGATATACGAGTTCTTTAGTTTTCGCATGATACAGCAGTTTGACTTAGAAGGAAATGCTGCTTTAATTGCAAAATGACTTGAGATAAAGTAAAACTTGTAATCTTTATTATATTTTCCGAATTACTAAATTGTCATTTATTATTATTTTCACTATTTAATAATCTGTAAGGTACATAGATAAATCAATATGTCCATAGCTTAAGGTTGAAGAAAAAATTATTTACTCAGACTTAGTTTTCAACAATGTCTTTCCTTGTCAATGCACTTTTCCATAAATCTTATAGATCAAACAGAATATGGTGAGAATTTCAGATCAACATTCAGCTAGGTTAAGCTATGGACTTATTGATGAACTCTTGTATATTTTTGCAATGTTTTCCTACAGATCAATGTTGCCAAAATAATAATCTTAACCATGGTGTGAAGTAAGTGTCTCTTGAATTATTTTTCTATTTTCTTTTTTTTAATCTTTTTCAGAGCATTTAATCAAGGATAATGATTCGAATGGAAGTCGAAGCAAATCTTGACAATAACATTGTATAGGAATATTGAATGGTTTCTCCACTCCCTTTGGCACCCATTCTGGAGCAAGTGGTGTGAAGCACTTCTGGTCTTCATCAATCTTTCTACCACTACCCACCACAACTATTACCATCACCTCCCTGACCAACAGGTTGCCTGTGGTGACTCTTTAGTCTGTTTAAAAAAGAAAAATACAAATTTAAAAAATAAAAAAAAAAAAAAAAAATGAACACAAACCAAGCAGGCAAAGTTAATGAACCTCCCCAAACTGCTCCAACTCCAAGGGTACCACACCTTCGTAGCAAGTGCTGTTGCACACCTTGCTATTTGTTACTGCTGGGCTGGTTCTTCTCTACAAAGAAAAAAAATAAATAAACTCATTCAATTATGATAGTAAAAGTCTTGGGGTCTTTTCCAGTTCAGTAATTTCATTAGAAAAATCTGACATTCTGTTTGCAAAGAACAAAATGAAAGGTGAAAAAAGGAATTGGGGGGGGGATAGGGAAGGACAAAAACAATGTGGATGGGTGTGGACAGGTAAATAGCTTTTTTTTTCTTTTTTTTTTTTTTTTTTTTAAATCAACAGGCCTCAGTGAAATTATCACATTGCTTCCAAATAGAAATTTTCTGCATGTGTATATTTATTAAGGCTGAAAATGAGTCTACAAAACCTACTTCTAAACAATCAATATTTCATTTACAAATCAATAGAACTAATTTTGTTACTACATAATTTATTCACATTAATTTCAATTACTTAGAATTTGATGTGAATAAACTTTGAAAAGTCAATTACATTTCATTGTTAGTGAAGTATATTTTTCATTTATTTCCAAGTGTGTATATTTATATATGTATATACATATTTATTTATGTGTATATGTTATATGTATGCTTGACTTACAATGAGAATTTTTTGGGGAGCCTGAGTCTATTTATTTTGAGTTGTATCTTCAAATACTTTTACATAGAACAAGTAAATTACCAGCTGTAAAATAATGTTTGATATAATTTATTATTACTTTCTATTTTTGTGATATATTTTATAGAAATTCTAAATAAGCTTTCTTTTGATTTATAGGAAAGCTAAGATTAGTGTTAGATGTTGTAAGCATACCATATCAAAATCTAGTAAAATGCAATTTTTTTTTCTCTCCCCCAATTAATGAAATTTTGCTTTGATCGCAATCAATTCAGCATTTTTATTTTCCTTTTAAATTTTAACAATGGTTCTGGATTTTTGTTTTACGTTCTGAAAACTTTCATGTTTTGCTGTCATCAAAAATATAATTGATATTTAACTTTGTTTTTTTAAAGTAGGCAGAAGAGTTAAATGAAGATGTCTGGAGATTCAGTCTCAGTCTCTCTATCTGGTAACTTTTCATGTTTCCCATCAATGATTTGAATGGTTTGTACTCTCTATAAAATCTCCAGAGAAACCTCCCTAAATCCCTTTTTTTATTATCATATACTATTTAACATATGCACTCCTGTTCTAAAACATGTTTTTCAGATAAGGGTTCATGTCTACAGCATTAAATCATAATTTCTAATAAGACTTGTTGACATTGATTGTTGTAGAGCACATGAAGGTGGAATACCCAACCCAGTTTTGATATTGAAAGTAGTTCTTGCCTCGATTGGCTTTGAGTAAAGCCTGTTTTGATTAGTTAATACTTGTTTAAGAACCAGTATGATTTTTTTTTTGCTAAAAATATCACAGTAGTAAATACTTGTACTACTGTCATCTTGTTGCCATCTGCAAAACATTTCAAGTTGTTGTGTAGAAACAAATCAGGAAATATTAACACATTTATTTTTGCTCCAGTTGCAATTAACTTAGATTAAACGGGATTTTATTTTATTTTTAAAATCTCTTAATTTTCTGATGATAATTTAACAATATACAATTGAAGAGAATTATCTGAAGGAACCCGTTAAGAAATGACAGATGTTGTCATGTCCAGACATCCACAGCAGTTATTTTTATTCAGTAAAATAGCAATATTGTGTTTCTCTTGGCATTTTTGTTTTTTACTTTTTGCTCTTAAAATCCATTTCTTTCCTTTTTTTTTTTTTTTTTTTTTTTTTTGGTCAAATGGTTCAAAGCCATATTGGATTTTTAAACAATGAAAACTTTTTTTTAATATCTGTTCTTTAAGCAATTACAGAAATATTAAAAAAAATAATGCTAGAATTTCTTATTAGCAAAGATTTGTATATTATTTTTTCATTTCATTTCTTCATTTTAAATTTCTTTAATTTTCTCAACATTTTGCTATTTTTAAGTAGTTTTTATAAAGTTTATTTTTATCGCAGTGATATTTTATATTATTGCAACACTTTAGACATTTTTTATTGCTCAACCATTAAGTAAACAACATGATTTGGAAATAAAATAGCTTCAGGCATGATTTGGATTCACATTCTGCATCCATGGGAGTCTGTCTGATATGAATGATGCCTTACTGATTTGGCCATGGAGACCTATCAGTAGATGAAGTTTAGATCTGATCATATAGCCAATATTTTTTTCTTTTTTTTTTTTTCTTTTTTTCACCATATTGTTTTGGTTTGTTTTTTAGGGTTTTTTTTTTACTACCAAGTAATAGTAATGGCTTTTAAATTACATTTCTTAGGTGAAACATCTTTGTTAATTATTGACAAGTTTATCTTTTGTTGTTGGTTTGTTTATTTCTAATTATGCCATTTGCTTAATGGCCAAAAAAAATAAAATACCTGAGTATTGTGACAAAAAAAACAACACTAAGATGATAAAAATAATCATTATATATCGGGCACAGTGAGTACTGGTGGTAATAAAACAGTGCTTGATGTAAAATCTACATTTGTTCCTCACTGTTTGGTGCAACTCTGTGTTTCATCCAGTTTTCAATTTGTGCACGAAACTCGGTTGCACTAAACAGTGAGGAATAAATGTGTGAATGGGTGAAAGGAGAGGGAATTAAGTAATCTTCAACATGTCATTTTAAGTTTCATCAAAGGAAAAGTCGCAACAATTTTTCATTCAATTCAAGCATTTTCTTGCTTTTGGATAATGGAGATAAATGCTGTAATTGGAATCTTTGCTGTTTTGCGGTGTTTCTACAGAGCAGACAGCAGAAATCTTTTAATGATTAAGACTAAATTTGTCATGAAAAAAATTTGCAAATTTTAGAAGAAACTTCAAAATATAATCAAGAAACTCTTTGATGTATACACATCTTTTATATCAAAAGTTGCGTTAAAAAGAAGTTTTTGTCTTTATGGCATCTATGTGAGACAATTTTTTATTTTTTTATTTATTTATTTTTTTTTTTTTTTTTTTTTTTTGCTGTATAAATTTGTAGAGACCTTATTAAATGCTATTATTTTTATGCTGCTTCATGTTAAATACTTTCTCATTTGTTTTTCTAATTTAGTTTTCATTTGGAAATTAAATGTGAATTGTTTAACAAAGCAAATGATTGAGAATTTGTATAACAAAAATTGTAAATATTCTTGTTGGTAAAAGTTGACAAATGAAATTTTTTTTTTTTTTTTTTTTCCCTATGCCATAAAAGTATAAATTGATTTTTATTAAGTTGATTTGATTTTTCTTCTAGTAACTAAAAATACATAGACTTTGAATCATTTCGACAAGTTACAAAATCCATGGTTTATATTCCTTAATTTTTCAAAATATTTAATGTCTTCTTTTACCAAATTACTCATTTTGCTTATTTAATGCAAATACTTTTCTAGTAGCCAACAATTGTGATTTACTATCATAAAACTCCCTCCTCCCTCTCCCTCAATATTTTTAGTATAATTAGTTACCCTTATGTTCAAGCCTTCCCACTCAGTATCTTAGTGTATCTTAATGCATACCCTTTAGATATTCCTGTCCACAAATAACTCTTCTACTACCAAAACAATAAGTAGACATAATTTTCAATGTGATATCCAAGGTCTTTCTTGTTACACTTTCTGATCCTCTTGATGAATATTGGGGATCAAAATCTAACAAAGTTTGTATCATGATTTACTTTTTATCATTCTATACAGAAATCATTTTACTTAACACAGGCATTTTTGAAAATAAGTGCATTTCATTAGCTCTTTTATATATAAATAGAAAGAGTAATAAATCTGGATTCCTGCCCTAAACCCTAAAACTCATTTTGTATATTTAGTTTTAAAAAGTAGCAGAAACATTTTTCTATTTTGCATGATTTGATTATAAGGGAAGTTCACTTTGCAGTTAATAAATCCAGTCTTCATTAAATGTTGTTTAAATGAAGATCAAAGATTTGGTAGAATCTCTCCCATAATTATGTTCCTATTCCTAATCTTTATTGCTTCCATTTTCTCTTTCTCAAGTTGAAATCAATGCAAATTGTCATGTTGACAATTTGAGCTTGAATGCAGCTACCAAAACTTGCTTAACAGAAAATTTTGGGCCCGAATTTATCAAAATAATTTCTTTTTTGATATTGCTTTTGATGTACTTAAGAGTTTTATTATTTTGGGTATAACATTCCAAGATAATTCCACCATCAAATCATTCAACGATAAATTTCTCTGAATTTCAAATCATTTTTCACTCTTTTTAAATTCTAATTTATAAATTTACCTTTAGAATAGAAAACATTTGCAATAAGTGTAAAGTGTTGAAATTTTTTTTTTTCATTTGATAAATATGGTACATCTGCCATTTTAATGATGAAGCATTGAATGAGATTTCATGTGAGTCTTAATATCAGTAAACTAATAAATGCTTTGTTTAGCCTGGAATCTAATTTTTTTTTTTTTTTTTAAATTATGTCCAATATTAAAATTTAATGGAGCTGGGGGTGTGATAATTTTTTTTTTTTTTTTTTCATAACTTCGTGGAACTTGTGTGTTCATTTTGTTTCTATTTTCAATGGGTGCAGTGCTTTTGCCTTGATATGTTTATCATGGATTGTGCTTTGATATTTGGAAAAGTTGTTAATCAGTTACAGCTA